CTCCTCAGTGCGCCCCCAGAGAAAAGCAGTCACTCCCATGTCCCCGGTCCCCGGCCGCACTCCGTGCTCACCCGGCCTGTGACCGAGCGTTTCTATGTCTGGCACCCGACCCCATGTGGAGTCTCCAAACCCAGCAGATCCCTGCGGTGCGCTCCCGTGCCACTCCTCCCGGGGGAGGAAGGGGAGTCTCCCCAGATCTGCCGCTTGTTGGGTCCCTGCTGGAGGAGCAGTGGCCCGACTGGGCCGCGGATCACAGTTTATGGCCACCCCGAGCTGAGAGCCCGTGCCTCGGCTCCGTCTCTGCAGCCGGCTTCCCTGCTCCGATACCTGGGAGCTCTGCTGCACTCAGGCACCCCTGGTCTGTGACCCCAAGGGTCCTGAGACCACACTGTCCTGCGAGGGTTCCACCCCCCCGCTTAGCCACTGGAGCGACGTCCCTCAGCGGAGCCGACTTCTAAAGGTTCCGATTTTGTGCTCCGTGGCTCTATCACTTGCCAGAAGTGGCCCACAGAGGCCCCCTCCCCCGCCGTCTATCCTCCTGAATATCGCCTCGGATTCACTTCTCCGCACGTCCTACCTTCCAGTAAGTGGTCGCTTCTCTGTTCAGAGAGTGTTGCTACGCTCTTCTTCGATCTCCTGTTGACTTCGTAGGTGTTCAAAATGGTTTGATCCCTATTCAGCTGAATTCCTGAGACCAGACGAAGTCCAGGTCTCCTACTCCTCCGCCATCTGGCTCTGCCCCGCTAGTGAACAACTTTTAACAACACCAATCTTTTTTTTTATTTTTTCTTTAAATTTTTTATTGTTATGTTAATCACCATACATTACATCATTCGTTTTTGATGTAGTGTTCCATGATTCATTGTTTGTGCATAACACCCAGCAACACCAATCTTCTATACCATCACCTTTAACAGTCTTACAGAAGTCCATCATATATGCTCATATACTTAGAAACCCCCACTAATACACATTTGTTGATGGTTTATTGTATTAATATAGTTATAATGAATACTAAATTCGTGCATACACCCTTATTAATTTCCTTGGGATAAATTCTAAGAATTATAATTTATGACCATTTTCAGGCTTTGATTCACACTCTCAGATTGACCTATGAGAACCCTTTTCCTGGAGAAATATTTCAGGGTCCTCACATAATAGTTTCTTTATTTTCAGTAGCCATCAAATGAAAAAAGATGCATAATGAAAAGCTACCATGATTCAGCCTTGATTATAAACTAAGCTGTATTTATTAATCAATATAATAACTAACACAATAGAATCAACATAAACTTTAAAAGTAACCCATTTGTGTTCAGAAGGTACTATCTGTCCAATCCACCCACAGTCCCTGGGATGCCTCTGGCCTTGCTGACTCTTTGTAGGTGCTTGTTGATTCCCAGAACTGAGAACTGTCACCTCTCAATTGCATTCTGTGATTCCAGGTCCCCAAAACAGCAGGTCTCATGTATAATTTTTTGGTCCATTTTTCAGATGAAGACTTATCTTGAGGATCATCCTTCTCTAATAATTTTTCATCGCTTCCTATCTTCAAAGATATGACTGGAACTCCTTGACCAGGAAGACAGATGAAAATGGGGGCCTGTGGGTGGAGATTACAAGAGATGTGGTGGGGAAGGAAAAAGTCCTTTCTTTTAATAAATCATCATTGTTAGAAGTACCCACACTGTTTGAGTTCTTTGGTTAAGGGTGATGATGAGGTGGAGGACAGGGTGGAAGACAGATGACATTTGTCGAGCACTTGGTATGCAACTCTGTTATATTCTCCACAAGCATCATCTAATTTATCCTTACAATCACCATGTGACTATGCTTATTATCAATACCATTTTATAGATAAGGATGCTGAGGTTTGGAGAGATTAAGTAATTTGCTCAAAATCATATGGCAGGTAAGTGTCAGGGCCTTACCTCTAATCCCATGTCCAACTCCAGGGCCTATGCATTATAGCATAGTAGTTAGGAACTCTGATTCTGAATTTTAGACCCAGGCCCGCCACATAACTGTGTGACCTTTAGCACGTGTCCTAACCTTTCTGTGCTTCAGGTTTCAGATTTGTATAACAACGTATGCTTCATAGAGCTACAAGGACAAAAGCAGTTAGTTCATTATGTTAACTACAGTTGTTATGATTATCAAATAGATGGGCCGATGGCACTTAGTGATGATTTTGTAGGGCTCTAGAATGGAAGCCTAAGACAATCCTCCTTCCTAGCCTATTGTAGTTCATCTGGATCCTGAAAGCCAGCCCCTCTCTTCTGGTTTTCCCCATTACAAAACATGGGAGGTAAAAATAGACTTACATTTCTTTTCTATGTTCTTCATAATCGCAACTGGCCTGGGTTGTGGTCTGATTTCGGCCAATTTACTGCCTGTGTGGCCCTTGACAAACCATTTAAACCCTTTAAGCTGTCTTTCTTTAAGCCATTAAGCTTTTTTTATCTGTAAAAAGGGGGAAATAACAGTATCAACCTCATTTGGATGCCAAGATTTATAGAACTTTATGAAGTATTTTCACAGAGATCCCATTTGATTTTCACATCAACCAACAGATGGGAAATAGGGGGCTCTGAATAAACAGTGAATTAATTTATCCTGCCAGCAAGTATTGGGAGGTGTCTACCATGACTCAGGTGCTGTGCTAGCATTAGGGATACAATAGTGAACCAGACAGACAGGATGTGTGCCTTCACAAAGCTCACATTCTAGAGGAAGAAACAGATAATATACAATAAAGAAGATAACTACACATTATGGTAAATGTTCTGAAGGAAATAAACAAGGATGTGAAGTAGAAGAGGAAGGGGGTAAAGCCTACTTCAGTTAGAATGATCCAGACTCTAATTAGGTGATTAAAGTAAGTCTTGACTGAGTTCCAAAATATGAAAAAGGTGATATTCCAGAGTAAGGCTCCAGATCACCTTATGCAGAATTTATAAAGGGAAATGGCTGTGAACATGCTTAGCATCTTTAAGGCCCCAAGGTCAATGTAGAATTAAAAAATACTGAGAGTGAGGAGGAGTAAGGATGTGTGAGGAGATTTTCTTGGGAGAACTTTTGCCAAGGTATAAGTTTCACAGTTTGGGGGTTATCGTCTAAACACAAGCCAATGAAGGGGGCCCTCAAGGCCTCCCTGAGAGCTTGATATATGTTTTCTTCAGTTGGTGATAACCAAAGGATAGGAATGTTCATTTCCTTGTAGAAACCACACTGCCATCTGCAAGGGTACATTCCATCAGAACTCAACAGACCGGTATCAGTACACTTTACAATATCTGGGTCATTCAGTTCTGAATAACAGTATGTGTGGGCCATCCATGTTACAACCTAAGATGAGCCACACTGAACCCAGATCCTTTCCACAGTCTATATCACACCACCTCCACTGCAGTGAAGACCAGGCCTCACATCCTCCTAGCCCCGTGTGTTGGATATCTCTTGTGCACTGCTTCACTCTTGGCCTTACACTCTTATTTTAATCATTGCTATGGCAACCAGTTTCTGTCAGGCATCTACTAGTTTAGTTCAAGGTAACTTGTCAGAGACTTGCCTTGGACTTGTACCCTAGTACCCTACACCTCTCACTTTTGCCTCAGGGCTTCTTTGTACAAGAAACTCCTGCAGGAACCACCACCCACTGATGCATGCTCATATGAGAAACAATGGAGAATTGATGCTTGGTGGGGTAATGCTTGACAACAGAACTCAAAGGCTGACAGTTAATATGCTTCCATCTCCCATTCCTCAGGAGGGGTGCTGAGGACATTCCAGAAGGCATCTCAGAAAATCTTAAGGATTGAGCAATCACTCACCTTTTGCAATGGCCAATTCAATAGTACATATGTGTACTGATTCTCCTTTCTTCCCTGTTCATTCTTGAATAAATCACTAATATATCAACCTCACCTAATGCTCTGCTTTGGGAGAAATCAGATTAACACTTCCATGACTAGGTCTCAGCTCCTGATCTTCCCTGAGCAAATGCTTGAATATCACAAATACATACACATACATAACATGCACATACATCCCAAAAATAAGCAATGACATCTAAATTCAAACAAAAAATTAGTATTCCTCCCCAAAGCCCAAAGTCTTCAGAAAACAAGCTTTTCTAAAGCATACCCCCAGTTGTTATTGCTAAACACAAGTGTTTTAGTCTCAGGATAAAACATGTACCTTCAGGTGACTTCAAGGTTTTCCCTAAGAATCACTGATAAGAATCTGCTTTATATTTGCATAATTCAAAAGCCCAAGAGATGACCAAATGTAAATTTCATGCCTTCACCTCTTGGGTGACTAAAAACGGTTTACGGCTTTTAAAATGGCTATTTTCTTTTCCAGCTTCTTGCTTTTAAGGCTACAGGAAATCTTGGGGTGTCCTATCTCAACCAGGTCACCCTTAGGCAGGTTATATTTTACATGGCTCAGTTTGAAATTACTTTTCAGTTCCAAATTACTTTTCTTGTGTAATGAAGCACAAGATTCACAGGAGGATGCACAGCCAGCAGCAAGGAATACTGAGAATTATACCCTCTATTTACAGGGTGGTTTTGCGCCTGGGTAGGAATCAAGGGCTCTCACACGATGTAAGAAGAGTCCAAAGATGTCCTAGAACTAGGGGTTTCTGCCACTGCCACCACCAACAGCTCCTCTCCAAATCCAGCCCGCGTGAAACGCTAGTACTAAAGAGCTATGTCAGCCTTGTCCAGGAACACACTTTCTAGGAGGACATAAACAGTCCCACTTTTCAGTCAGTACTCAAAGACAAATATAAGGTAAAAAAACCCTCCAAGCTAATTTCTGACAAATATTCGCAAAGCGGGCAGAGGAGGGTCCAGCGTCTCACTTGGCTTCTGGTCTAAAGAAGTATTTCCGGAACTGGCGCGCGGAGCCGGGAATACCCCGGAAGTATTTCCCTGTTGTCCTACGTAGGGAAGATGGCGGCGGTACAAATCGGCGGCTCGCCCAAAAGCGAGCCGGCGCGGGAGGTGCGACCGAACCAGAGCAGTGGATTTCGCTGCTTGTCCGCCAGGCTCTGCGCCCTGCGCCCGGATGACAGCAGCTCCGCCCGGACCGAGATCCACCTGCTCTTCGACCAGCTCATCTCTGAGAACTACAGTGAGGGCGGCGGCGTGGCTCCGGAGGTAGGCGGCGTGCCGGGTGGGGAGGACTCGGGCCGCGCCTCCTGGCCCCGGCCCCGCCCTCAGGGACCCTAGCGGGTAGCTCCCGCCTGCCGCGCCCGGCTTTTCCCAGCCCCGCTTCGCGTTACTTAGTTCTAGGCTCGCTGGCTCCCTCCGACCGTGACAGTCTCTGCCCTCCTCTATCTGGAAGATCCTGCAGTGCTTGGCAAACTCGCATCTTTAAAACCCCGTTGATGATTTCTGCTCTGCTAACTCCGCAGGTGTCATCTCTGGTCCCACCTTCCCGTCCCCCAGCTCCACTCCCTGCATACAAAACACTTTGTATATAAAATTCACTTCTACCATTTATTGAATACATAGCACTCAGACCATGTACTGTAATTTACGGTGTACGGTTCTAGGAATCTTACAACGTGGGTATTATTAGATCTGCTTTACTGATAAAAATACTGTGGCACATAAAGATCCAATGTCCTATTGCTGGCAAGAGGCAGAGGTAGAATTGGAGCCTAAGGCTGTCACATGCTCCCTGCCATTTTCTGTTCTTTCGTGCTAGCACTTCCCTCTCTACCTCCTGTTTAGAAGTACTCGGACACTGAGTAATAATAATATTCACACACATCAGGCCTTGGATACTACTTACTGAACTCCCAGAACTCTTGACCCAGTCATACCCCTGCCTCTGGTGCTCACAGGCACCTCAAACTGGACAGTTCCTAAAAACGAAGTTACATTATCTCTGTAGACACACTATATCCACAACCCATCCCATCCCCCAACTCACAGAAACGTGCCCAGTCTGCCAAGTCACACTGGCACAAACACTGGTGTTTTCTCTTTTTCTCCCAGATCTATCCACTTCGGATTCTTCAGATTCCATCTCATAAATATTTCTCATTCCCTTTTCTGTGTTCCCACTGCCAATGCCTTAAGCCCTCAGGCAAGATGACGTTCCTGAACTCTTCCACTGGTCTCCTCAAACTTCTCTTCTGCTTCCTGTCTAGCTCTTCTCCAAACCATTCTTTGTCCTGCTACTAGAGTGATCTTTTCTTTTGTGAGAATAAAACCTGATTAGAAAGGCAAAACTCTGATTTGGGAAGATCTTTAATACATATTGGTAGATGATCAGAGCAAGTTACAGAATGGTTCATCGCAGTACGACACCAGTATAGGGTGAGGAGTGCGTTTAACAGAATATGTACACTTATAGATGTAAAGAGTTCACAACAACGAATGGAAAAGTTTACAACAAAATAATAGTGTGTGTCACTAGGGATTGGAGTGGAATTAAGGGTTTACTCGGGAACTTTTGCTTTATTGGTACAATTTGATATTTTTCCATCAAAAATATGTGCCTTTCGAGTCTCCTGTCACTTCTCCTTTTGTGCTCTGTGTGCAGTCATTTAAAACCTGCTGTTCCTCAAGCATCTACTAGTGTTTCACTCCTACTGGTATTCCAGGTCTTTGCACGCTCTATTCCCATCCATTGCTTGCTGTGTCTTTCATTGCT